ATCTAAACCATTTAAACCTTGATGATACCTACAAAGTTGTTATCAATCAATTTAAAATGCAACTATTATTCTATAGTGCATACATGTCATACACTGATTTGTTATCGACGTTTTTCATTCGGTATTTAGTGCTAAACAGGATAGGGAGATCTACGATCAAGCCATCTAAATCAATACCCACAGATACTGGACTTTAGGTCTTCACAGATGACTTGGCTCTTCTATCGCACACTCAACAACAAATGCAAGAGAAGACGACCAGTGTAGCAGCAGCCTCTGCAGCAGTAGGTCTCAACAAACATAAAGGAAAGAGCAAAATTCTCCGATGCAACACAACATGCACCAACCAAATCACTATTGATGGAGATACCTTGGAGGACGTTGACACCTTTACATATCTTGGCAGCATCATCGACAACCAAGGTGGATCCGATGAAGATGTGAGGGCGCGGATCGGCAAAGCAAGGACTGCATTTCCACAAATGAAAAATATTTGGAACTCCAAACAACTTTCAACCAAAACCAAAATCAGGATTTTCAATACAAATGTCAAGACAGTTCTACTGTATGGATCGGAAACTTGGAGAAATTCGAAAGGCATCATCCAGAAGATACAAGTGTTTATTAACAGCTGTCTACTCAAAATACTTCGTATTCGTTGGCCAGACACCATCAGCAACAACGATCTGTGGGATAGAACAAACCAGATTCCAGTGGAGGAGGAAATCAGGAAGAAGCAGTGGAAGTGGATAGGACACATTGAGAAAAGCACCTAACTGCGTCACGAGACAAGCCCTCACATGGAACTTTCAAGGCAAAAGGAAAAGAGGAAGGCCAAAGAATACATTACGCCGAGAAATAGAGAAAGATATGAGAGGAATGAACAAACATTGGACAGAACTGGAGAGAGAAGCCCAGGACAGAGTTGGTTGGAGAAAACTGGTGGGTGGCCTATGCTCCATTGCCGGTAACAGGCGTTAGTGAGTAAAGTAAGTACTGGACTTTAGGATGGATAGATCAGAGTTAGTAAGTGTAAAATCAGATAATCGATAACCAGATGTTGTACAATCAACTCATATTAAACATTTGAATAGAGAAATAAGAAGACATATTTTGTGAGATAGTACCATTTCGTGCTTTCTCGTCAGTCACATACAAGCAACATGTTATTTGTGTAAATACAGTTTTGAAGATAAGGTCAAAATTTCTTATTTAGCATCACATTCACTCACTAGAACCATGGTAAACAAAGGTCAACATACAGTTGTTTTTGAACACATAAAGTTGGACTTTTCCGACCAATCAAGATAGCTTCGAGTAGTTTGAGTGTGTGTGGGTTTTCATGACATGTCACAACTTTAAAGGCTGATTTTGGGTCAATTTGATGACCACTCATCATTAGATGTTTTGCAATGGACGAGGCTGGGTTTCTTGATCGATCTTGAGATGACGGGCTAGGTGGGTGAATCATGGATTTGATTAACCATCTTGGAATATGTTCCCCTATCCTGTCCTCCAATCTGCGATCTGTCCTACCTAAGTAACTTTCTCCGCAGTTACATGTGAATTGGTAAATACAGTGGGATTTGGACTGAATCGGTCTTGGAGACTTGATCGGGGTAACTGAGATCGATTGGGTTGTTGTGATAAGCCTCAGACTGACGAGAAAGCACGAAATGGTACTATTTCATAAAATATGTCTTCTTATTTCTCTATTCAAATTTATCAAAGGGAACCACTGTTTTCATATTAGACAGACTGATATCCTATTGGAGCTAAATTTGGTCCAGATTTCTACAAAAACTACCAGTTACAGGTAAATGTAGATTGATCTCATTTCTTAAATCATTGTTATAACTATTACCTAAAGAAATGGAGTGGTAAAATATTCCCCACAACCCAAAACAAAGAAGTAATGAAGGTACACACTTTTTGTTTTGATGATGTCACGTATAGGTTATTCTTAAAGAAATTATCAACTGATGAACTGAGGCATGATTAGAGTAAGTTATTATTTTTTACTTTATTATACAATACAATACAATACTGTATTGTGTGTTACCTAATTTCAATCGCTATATATTTATTCATTTTATGAGTCATATTGACCTTTTTAATATCGATATTAATTTAGTCAGTATTTGTAACAAATACATGAATTTATTCGGTTAAAAAGTCTTATCACATGCTGATAAACTGCATACAGTGATTCAACCGCAATATGATAATTATAGAATAGAAGTTTTATAAAAAGAAATTGGTGTACGCACGTATCGGTATAGTGTGTAGTGAAAAAATTACTAGAATTTTAAGTCTACTGGATGTAACAAGTTAAACAAAATACTCCAAAGATCGTTCTGGAACAGTAACAAGTGACCATGGAGCTTGAAGCAAATGATTGCATAACTCAATGAATCAATACCGTGAAACAATAATTATTAGGAATGAAAATATTTAGAAAGTCAATAGAATTTAGTTAGAGAATCTGTAAGCTAGAGAAGCGTTAAAAATCAGTTAATCAGATAAGGACTTTGACAGTCTGCAGATAAAAAAGGGACTGTTCACTTTTGAATACATAAGCCAAGTTTTCGGGATACATTACAGTGATAAATTTGACGAATGCAGGTAGATTACGACTTGGTTGCTTTTTCGTCACGTGGTTATGCTATCTAGGCAACAATTCTCAAAAGTCATTCGACATGTACGGACATTGTGTCAAATAGGGCATCCCACCTGACTCTGAACATGATGAAGAGCGTAGTCAGCTTAGGCGCAGACTTATAAAAAGCCTACGTAACGACCGTGAACAGTGGAGGGGGGCGAAAGCAAAAGCGACGGAAAAGGCAGCGGCGATAGGCAACACTAGACAACTTTTCCGCTTTATCAAAGAAACCGGTATCAGGAACCCTATCTCGGAAAAGGATGGCCTTGAACGACATGGCTCAAAATCGTTTGCAATGGCGCAGGTGCATCCACTCTTTGTGTCCTCTCATATTGCAACATTCTGAATTTGCCATCATCTCTATCTTGCTCTTTCTTACTTTATCTCACTGAATTATACCCTAATCTTCTCCATTACTGCTAATACTTCTACTATCGCTACCACTGGATTCGAACAAACAGTTGCGTCTCTGTGCTAATGAGGTATGGCAACCTGAACTGATGTACATACGTACGAAGTTGTATTGTATCTGTCTGTCTCCTGTGAATATCACTAAATGCCTATTAAAACGAAACTGATGAAAATCCTTGAGTTGGTACTGTGGTTTTACCTAACCGCCGAGGTATGACAAAATTACGACACATTTTGAAAACATTCAGCTTTTTATAAAACAACCAATATTACGAAATGCTTTAGTTAGAATTAGAGACAAGATCCCAATTACATCCATGCTAAATCGTGTCTTCAAACTAGGTTGCATCGACTGTGATATGTTCTACATTGGGGAGTCCTCACGGAAAATCTCGATTGGTGCCAACGAACAATTAAGCTACACGAAAATACTTCTTAATAATCCCATAGAACTGGAAAATCTACTAATTAAATCAACAAAAACAGAGCACAGTATTTTCAATAGCCGTCAGATCAATATTTAAAATATCGAAAATGATTCAGAAAGGTTTTTCCAAACCTGAAAAGAGAGGAGGGTAGTTAAAGCATTTCAGATAGTGCTAAATCCTTCTGCTCTCGATAGGAAATAAAGCTTGACTATTCATCCAACCTGGGTTGTTTATCTAAACAACCACACTTGGCTTATTATCTACACAATTCTACACATACATACACACACATAATTTTATTGTTTAAACAATGTTAATTACTACTTAAACCTGTGTTAATTTATCTCGGTTATTTGTGTATTTACTCCGAAGAAACGACTTGCATCAAGTCACGAAATGTCAGAAATACTACTCGTTTTACTCATTGGGATATCATTAAAAATTATAATTATTAATATTATTACTAACTTTCCGCCCAATGCTCGATTTCTTTGAAACTGTCAAGTCGAACCTTGGTGGTGATACATACAGACTGATTTTTATTGTGCGGTGCTAAAATATATCACGGTGTCTTATTGTAGCAATGCTTGTCTTAAAATAAATAAATACATATAAACCTTAACCAACAGTCTATGAAATCGATGAGTTGTCAGCCCACTCCACAGATCATGAGTTTTCCACTAGAACTTGATAGCGAACGAAGTCATCATTGAGGACCTAAGTGTGTAAATCAAAAAAATGACTAGCTGTTCATTGACCAGGTATATTAAGTACAGTTTTAAATGAAGGAAAACCTAAGCAACCTAAACTAAGTTATGATTAATTATTAGTAATGGAAGTGTGATTCCATACAAAGAAAACTTCATATATTACCTCTTTACAATGATAAACAGATTAAGAAGAGAAATTTACTATTATCACCTGTCTCTAGGTATGCTTAAACTATGACGAGTTCACCTTAGTAGAATAACGAGAATAAAACAATGAACCAGCGTCCAGACAGGCTACTGTGATTCCTTGACCAAATCGAACCAGTAAGAAGTCTTGATAGAGTGTAGAAATTGTATTCTTCAAACACCCAGCCAGCACACAATGAATCCAAGCACTCAAATTGAGTTTATTTATACTCTATAGAGACGTCCTTGGGACAGTCACAAAAATAGCACACTAAAATGACATAGTAACCAACCACAGCCAAGGATTTTCCTTGTGGGGAATGTGATCTCAAGGCCAACTGATCGGTCCATGAAATAAATCCGAAATAAAGATATTTATCAAGCGAATTCTAGGGATCTAACATCCCGAACATTACCACAGAGAACGTTTGTAAACAATTCAAAGGACGAAACAACAATAACAAAAAAAACCTATCCAGAGAATCATGTCAGACTTGGTATTAAGAGAGAGTTACATGGTTTCATACAAAACTGGGTGTTTTATTTTATTTTGACAAGAATTATTATTTGATCGAATTTTACACTTATAATATGAAGAGCTAATCAATTAACTAAACATTTGCATTCAAATCTATTTAAAATTATTTTAGTTTCGACAAAAATATAATTCAAAAGTAAACAAACAATTTTTTTTTCACTCACTTCAAGAAAAATTGCTTCACCTGGATTAAGTTTGACATAATTAAAAAAGAACAAACTGAAACAACCAACATCTCCAGGATAATCTGTCGCTAAACGAATAAATACCTCGCCAAGAGTGTCTGTATCAAGACGGTAATTTTTAAAAGGTGGAATATTGATCTTTTCACCATTGTTTAAACGTGTTTTTAAAGTTTCCACTAAATTACTAACCTGAAAAGAAAAAGGCTATTGAATGAGGATTTTAAATAAATTCTTTTTTTTTTGATTACTAGATGAATGAAAACTTAGACAATCGTTTTAAGATACATCAGAAATAATTGCCATAACAAAATCACCTGATTATTCGCATTTGATTTCAAAGAAAAACATTTGCACAAATTTACATATCCACGATCATTTAGAATGAAAAACACACCCAAAACCATTGCACTTAGTGGAAACTATGTATGCATCAAGTGATTTACGATCTTCAATTGGTACTCTACATCAATGTTTGGCACTACTCATTAACGAGTTCCACCATATGCTGGCAACACTTTCAAGATACATTTTCCCAATCTATAATGGTTGACGTTACTCACAAAAATATAATTACAATTCTATGATCCGAACAGATATTGACGTAGATCAGTCCTGAAAGTGCTATCTTGCAGTTGAAGGGAGAATAGAAAAATTCCAAACATTGTTGTATTGTTAGATAAGGTTTCCAGAGGACATTGTTGACAAGTTCACTAAATTTCTATACTCTAACTGGATAGGACATCAGTTCCCGTAATGTCAGATTGTGAGAAAAAGAATCTGTTACGATATTCATCAAATATCCTAAGAGAATTATTTTTGGAAGTCTAATTCTATTGGTTAATATTATGGTCGTCCTAACTGTCAATGTCACACACTTCAATGTTGTTTCCTATTCGACCTAACTGTATAAATATGCATTATCTGTTAAGCTTATTATTCCTTTCTTCATTCCCTCTGTGCTCCAACCCCATGAACAACTTCATCTAACGGTATTGTGTTCTGATATATATATTGGAGATTTGGGAACAGTATTTGGGATCGTACTGGAATATCTGAATTCGGTCAATCGGTAGGATTTCGAAAAGCTACATAGCAGCATTATAACAGAATCTCTAGTAGTACATCTGTGGTGCGAGCTACTTATAAGTAGTATATGATGTGAGCGTCAACGTAATGTCTGGCAGCAGAAGATGGGGGAAGATCAAGAAAGGAAGAGTTAGAAAACAATGGAATTTGTATGAAACGCATGAATAGTGACAATGGATTGATGTTTTGCAACAGGAACAGTCCAGTTCGATATGATGAACTGATTGATGTTTTGCAAATGAACGATTTACGATATGGTTTTCCGATTTTACTGAGTAACTCTGTAATTTTCGTTAAATATAATTCGGTTGCCCCACCTGTGTTCTCGTTCACTACACATCTATGACAGAAGCAGGTTAAACTGATGAGAATGTAAATTTCTTAAGAAAAATTGTATTTAGAAACTTCACAGTTTAGTTTAAAAAAAAAGCTTACGATGTATCAGTAATACTGAAGTATTTTCTTTTACTTCATAAACCAGTAAATATTCTTAATGTTTCTTTTTCTCAAGTTGACTGTATTTAGAAAATTCGCAACAATGTGTTTTTATTATTATCAATCTGATAGTCCATTTCTTATATTAATTCAGTTTTAACGAATAGAAACTGGATTACATGTAATTATTTTAATGACTGTACAAGTTGACAGTAGTGATTTCCTTTGACAATGAATACTTTTACAAATGTATTATTAGCCATTTAAGTAGAAAACAAGAATGTAAAAGATTTAAACTAACTCAGATTTTTATTGTGAAGTCCTAATCAAACGGAGCGGATGTCATGGGCATAATGAAAGGTATTATTTTATTCAACTGATTTACTTGGGGAAGATTTGAAATAAAATGCAATTGTGAGGGTTATCGAGGTCAACCGGGGTGCTGAAACCGATGCAGGTGGACTGGAGCTCACACCTGACTCAGTGAATAAAATCTATACACCTTAAAGACTGAGCCACTTCGCCAAGGTATTCGAATACTGCTACTACTAAGAACAATAGTAATATTGATACATTTGAAGCCCTGTTTACTCCCAGTTAGACTATCACAATAAGATGTCATTAATACTCTTCGAACTGTGACATGTAAATTAGTTTTAAACATAGTTTGTTACACCTAAAAGAATGACTACTTGAGTACATTTAAAAAGTGAATTATGTAGAATATCTGAAAGTTTGAGTTTCCTAAGACTCTTGAAAGGTTGAGAAATAGTAATACTAATAAACATCATTAGTATATTTTTGTGCATGAACTCAATCTATCCCTTGTATACTTGGTTAACATTTTGAAAAATTGAATTCATCTAAACCACATGAGAAAAAAAAACATTTGCAAATTTAACTTACAACGCTAGGCTCAGCATTCATTAAACAAGAGTAAGCAGCCTTAATTGATGCGGAAGTAAGTGTCTCATCTACCATGGATACATTTAACAAGTCATTTGTAAAATTCGGACCGATAATTGAATGAAGTTCTGGGATGTCTATGGAAGGTAAAATAAAAACAGCGAGGATTTTTTTTTAAAAAAATTACTGAAAAAATCATATGCAATCACTAATTTAGTTCTAACTTCAATTGTCCTTTAAAATCTCAATATACATACTTCTATTTCAAGTCGAATAATATGTACTGTTCATACAATAGCTATGATATAACATTTAATGGATTGAACAGTCATTTACCATAACTTGTACATTTTTAAATAAATACTACCCATCTATGGTTGCGAAGTAGTCTTGACAACTGTCATTTGTTTTGAAATCTAAGTGATATTAGAACTTTGACATATGTGAAATGAAGTATAAACATGCCCGATAACTTGAGAATGGCTTTCAAAACAGAATATTAACAAGTATTATAGGTATTACACCAACAGTAGGACCCGAAATGGTGACTAAATAGTAGCTATAAATCGTTAAGAAACCCCATTATCATATTTTTTTGTCATTCACTAGAAATGTGCTGCAAAAGTGCGATAAATAACAGACATTTAGACTGACATGCAACATATAAGTATGAGCTAAACCAAAAGGTCGGTAGCCAGAAATGTAATGACAATTTTATGGCACAATTCGATGCCTAAAGCTTGTTTGAAAGTATTCTAGTGACCTGGGATATGATTACGATTTGTACGAACAAATGAATATTCTATGAAATAGATCTTCGCACTTTAATAAAGTAACCAAGAGATTAGGCGAATAATTGACAATATCAGAAGACGTATACGTAGTAACTCGGGTAAAAAAAGGTTAATTGGTCCGTCCAAAGCCAGGACAATACATGTGGGCTCAACGTATTGGAAAGCATACTACAGTATATTAAACTGAACCATGCGAAAAGCGATTCTACTTACGTTTTGCAAAGGCGCCAATTTCTTCAGATGGTCTGAAAGCAATCATTGCCTCAAAAGGTGTTAAGGCGATAGCTAGTTCTGGTTTGTGATTAGCATCTTTGTACACGTCAGGTCTACTGGCGTGCAATTTAACAGCAAACTCCTAAAACGAGGAAATTAAACAATTGAGCATGAATAAACATAGCATTTCCGACAAAAATATACCAGTTGTTTTTCCCGTGCAGAGAAACAATGTGACAAATTTTTACTACTAAGAGTTATACGACTTAAAACATAAAAACAAAAGGCCGTGGTAGTAGCAATAAGGTGATTGGTAACCATAATAAAGATCTCAAAAGATATTATATAAGCAAGTATTTTAACGTAGAGATCCAAGTAAAAGTGCATGTCCAAGTTGCAACAACTTACAATAACATACGACAAACTAGCCAAAAAGGAAGGGTTAATAGAATAAACATGGTTTTGGTTGAGGAACCGGAAATCAGTCAGTTAGTCAGTTACAAAGTAGAACTTCGTGCCATACTACATTAGCACAGAGACGCAATTGTCATTCGAAATCCCATAGTGGTAGAGATAGAAGAATTATTACTGGTAATGGAGAAGATTAGGGTTCGAAGATATTATTCAAGAAGTATAATTCAGTGAGATAAGTTTAGAAAGACAAAAGTAGAGGTCTTTTTATGTGTAGTATTTAAAGTGTTAGCTCCGTTCTTTTTTATAAGCCCTTACTGCCGGAGACGGGAATCTGTGAGGTAAGGTGTGACATTTTTAGGGTCGACCTTTTCCAACCCTTCCTTCTTTGTGAGAAGGCAGCATCGTTGCAGATGCTGGTTGTCCGAGGGAAACACCTTACTTCTGTCACACCACTCTGAAGTCAGAAGTACGGCTTCACCCTCAGACCTTGGGTAGCTAGTTTTAGTCTCATCGTTCTCCAATCAACCTGCCTGGCATGATAGAACCTACAAAAACATATGTTCCAGCCAATATAGCTCAGTTGGGTCATCACGATAGGCAAGCCCGACCACCACGTCAAGGTAACAGCTGAGGTCGGGGAACCGGAACTGATTGGATAGTTATAAGATGACACTTATCGGAAGGCGAATAATAAACTGGAACAAGCTACTCCAGCCATTGCACGCTAATAATTTTATTGACTAACCATCCTCCTCTGACTAGAAACTTTATACGCTATCTCAACATTGATTTTCGATAGTCCCATAAGATATAGACGTTGCCGCAAGCTATCTATGACAACTATTCATATTTATTGACCGAAGCTTTTACTATATCATATGCCAAATAGCAGTCAAATTTTAAACAATAATGGCAATAGATGGGAGAATATGAATTTAGAGCTACTGAATTACGACCGATATGATCGTGAAGAAAGCTCAAACTTTGACAGCTAATCCTAACGGCATTTGGATATTTATAAAATAAGTGTTATCTTTGTTTATTGAATAAACTCTACAAGTCAAACCACAACTATTTCAAATGAAAACATTTACAAACACACCACAATGAAAATTTACACAAAAGTGATTGGAGTTGGCAGCCCATATATTTCAGGACATAATATTGTGTTTAAAAACCCACCTTGTCTGGATGAGCCTGGATAGACAGCGCCTTCCGCACAGAGAGGACTTTGAACAGAAAGGGTAGAGATTTGCCAAACATTTTAGACACTGAGGAGCCCAGACAGTGCGGATTTTTTGAAATGTAAGTATCCAGCGATATTGAAGGACTATCCGTCAAGAAACATGGTCCAGAAACATGAGTCCCCATCCAAAGCTAAGCCAAGATTTAATTTAAGGTATGTTAATTACCTCTGCATACGGCCTCAAGATATCTAGCTCTTGGGCTTGACTCAACAACTTATAAACCTCACTTTTTTCACCAAATTTACCCCAATCATACGTTTGAAAGGCACATTTTAACCGAAACATAGCCTATTATCAACAAAAGCGACAAAAGAAACAACAGATGACTCAGGTTTGAATGTGTATAGTGCCCTTGAAAGTAGCTTCCAATATCCAATATCCAATATCTTTTTCACGAGCTAGTGTAAACCAATTTGATTTCTTCGCGCTCGATTCTTGTTCTTTCGGTACGGTTCCAGGTGTTCGGTAATGTCCAATGGATGGAGGTCTAGCCACTCGACTGTCTAATTCTAGTCAGTTGGCAGTTGGTTGTGAGTTTGTATGTCTCGGGATTTGAATGAAACGTTTGTTTCAGGGCAGTAGGGTTTCTGGATACTAGCAGCCGCCACTTTACCAAACCGGAGATCAGTTAGTTGCAATGTGGAGAGTAATAAGGGTAATAAGCATAAATGAAAATGATAATATGAATAAAATTTCAGGACTGAGTAATATATAGATGAATTTAGTTTATTACTTGGTAGTGAAGGTTGTGAGAGAGGACCGAAGTGTAAGCAAGGGAGAGGAATAGGCGAGTTAAATTAATTAAGTGCTCTGAAGAGATGGCAATGGTAACAACTAGCAGGTCTCCAGATATGCATCAGGCACAGCTTGTCCAAGAGGGAGATGATAGTCCGCATGTGAGTACGTGATTATCAAGTCTCTTCTTAAAGCAGTCCACTGAGGGGGCTGTACCTACCTCGGCTGGGAGAGCATTCCAAGTTGCGACGACTCGCAATGAGAAAAAGTGTGCACGAACCTGAGTGTTTGCTCTTTGATGTGCAAATCTTTGAGGATTGCCTCGAGGGGAGTGGTGGTGATGCATCGGTAAGATGCTCACATTGGGATGGTTGGGAGTGTTTAATATGGTGTCAGGCATAATATGGTCAACTCTGATTCTCCTGTGACTAAGAGGGAATAATCGCAGGAGCTGGTGTCTATCCTCGTACGGTTTATTTTTCAAACATATCACCCATTTCGTTGCTCGTCTCTGCACTCGGTCCAATAGAATAATGTCTCTTTTAGGCTAAGTGGGTGCGACGACGTTGTGAACCTCCAAGTGTGGGCGCGCGTACGACTTAAACAGAATTAAAAATAATTTCGGGGTGATATCATCAAGCTGTCTTCGCATAAGGTGAACAGTCGCATTTGCCTTGGCTGCATCACCTACATAGTTCGGACTGGTGTGGAGGCTTTCTGTGGTTATTAAACCAAGATCGCGCTCTGAGGAGACATTAGGGAGCGGACTTCCATTGAGAAAGTAGGTGGTTTGCGTCATATGAGGCAGGAAATGCATGACGTGGCACTTCGGTTGGTTAAGTTTTAAACCGTTTTTCACTGCCCCTTCCTCAGTGAATGTAAGGACCTTTTGAAGCTCAGTCGAATCCTCTTCGCTTCTAATGGATCTCCAGATCTTCGCATCGTCTGCGTAGATCAGTGCCGGTGAGCTAACTAAGCTTAGCAGGTCGTTAATGAATATCAGGAAGAGGAGTGGGCCTAGGATGGTCCCCTGTGAAACTCCTGAAGTGGAAACTCTCCAACTCGCGTGCACCCTGTTTACCTTGGTGCGAAACTTTCTATTCTCAAGGTAGTTTCTGAGCCAAGATACGAGCGGGTCAGTGAAGCCCATTTCCACAACCTTTTCGATTAGACGTGCGTGGGGCACTGTGTCAAAGGCTTTTGCGAAGTCGAGAAATACTACGTGCACTGGTATTTTACGGTCCAAGCAGGATGTCCAACTGTCCCATGCGATGAGAAGATTAGATGCACACGACCTGCCTTTCCGAAACCCATGTTGAGCTTCATGGAGTATTTTAGTCTTATCCATGTACTCCCTCATTTGTTCGTCCACTAGCCCTTCCATAACCTTTGATAATATAGGTAGTAGTGCGACTGGTCTGTAACAGGCTGGGTCCTTTCTATCTCCTCCTTTGAAGATTGGAGAGAGAGTAGCTTGTTTCCATTCCGCTGGGAATTGGTGTGACTCCAGTGAATGCCTGAAGAGGTTGCATAACGGTGAACAGAGGGCTTCAGCGCACTGTTGCAAGACTATAGGGCGGATGTTGTCACAACCTGGTGACTTACCTGGGCGTAAGGATTTTAGTTTCCTTGATACTAGGTCAGGGGTGATACGGATGTTCCCTAAGCCGTCAGCTGGCATTGGGTTGGCGTAATACTCTGAACATGTAGGCGCCTGGTTTAATTGATCAGAAAAATGGGTGTTGAAGATCTCGGCCATTTCTAGGTTGGTGAGGTCTTCTCCGTTAGGCCCTTTTAGGGGGCACAACCCTTGATTAGTAGGTTTTCTTTTGGACATGAACCTAAACAGATGTTTCGGGTTTGCCTCTATTCTGGCGGCTAGTATCGTCTGGAATTGTCTCCTGTCGCTTCGAACTTTGGTATTGCATCTGTTTCTCAATGCCAAGTAAGAACTGCGATCGGAATCCTTCAAGGAGACCTTCCACTTGTG